CATAAAAAGTGCTGGCAAAGTTTTAACCCTTTAACCCCTAGGAGTGACCAGCTGCCAATTTCTCCTTACAATATCACTTCTGAATCAAACATTATGGTCATGAGAATAAAGGAAATGATCTTCAACTTATTAAGCTCTTGATTTTTAAACAAATTCTCCTTGTCAGTGCTTCAGGAAATGTATAGAGCATGGAGAATATGCATACTGATGTTAGGGTATAACGAGTTAAAGGCCCAGACATCTTTTAGTCTATGTTAACATTATCATTATTGTTATCGTTTTCATTACCGTTTTCGTCATCATATAAACTTCCACATTTTTCCCAACATTTTTTCAATAAATCAGGGGTACCATTTATCTGCAAGTATATCTGGAAATTGTGCTGTTAATTTGCATAAATTAACATTTTGTCTGGAGTGTATACCAAACTAATGAGAACTTCATAAAAATATAAAGTAACTTTCTTAAGACTCCAAAGGTAATTTATTTGGATTACTTTTCAAAAACTTTTCCAAGATTTGAGTCACAAGCTAAGGGTGTGGCTTATCTGTGAGTGCAACTTGTGTGCTGGTGTTTGTGGTATTATCATTGACATCATCTTATGTAAGTGAATCAACAAGGGATAACACATATCTAGCCTTGGCTTGAATAAAGTACACCCACACGCACTTGTTATGCTGGCCCAAAGAAGTATCCAGGCAAATTAAGTTGTCTCAAGGCAAGACCTTGAAGAAGGCAAAAAATTGCTTGTGTGTGTGGATAGCTACAGTGGATAACCAATGTTCTGACTGGGTCAAAGTAGACTGAGGAAAATTAGTATTGGTCTTCATGGTCTCATGTCAGTTTCTTTGCTTTCTTTCAAATAAATTTAATTTCAAACAGTTTTTATTCTGCAACACCAAGGGGGTGGAGAGGATTTTTCTGTAAGAGGTTATAGAAATATTCAATGAACATGTCATACCACACCTAATCGACTCCTATTTCTTGACTGTAGAGCTCAAAGTCATTGGAATCAGGGCTAGACTCAAAGCAAACTATAGATTCCTCACATTAAAAACCGTTCAAATGCAATCATATTCTATTTGATTTTTTTTTTCATTGGTTTGCTTGGACACAATTGCCCAATGACACACTACTAGGTTAAAGAAGAATGTATATATTTCTCTTGAATTCCTGAACCCTTCTCACAAATTATGATGATATTCATGATGATACTCTCATAACATGCAGTGTTGGTATATTTTTCCATTGCTGTTAAATCAATAATTTTAATCTTAAACAGTTTTTATTTTGCAACACCAACAGGGTGGACAGGATTTTTCGGTAAAAAAGGTCTAAACCCAGCATCTCACTCGCAACAATAGCATGCTATTATGCGTCATTATTGATGTTATTACAAATAATCTCTGTTCATGAAAAAGAGGGGGGTGGAGTGTAGTGAAGTGACCTGTACACCCTCAGCCCTGTCCATACAAATACAACTGTTTTTCAACCTTTCTCATCATCCTGTTAATCTTTGAGGGCTGCAAAGATGGTAAATATAAGGGTTAAGATGAGTTCATATTTTGATAACCTATTGTTAGTACTATAATGCAGGCCACAGAAAATGCAGTAACTGTGTTCTTTATTGATTATGTGTTTAGTCAAACGGGAGTGTTTATTATAAGTATTTTTTTCCAAGAGGAGGACAAATTTTGATCACTGTTGATGGCATTGTTGTTACAATTGTGTGAGGAACTAGAGTAAAAAATCAAATGAGAGTTATTACTGATAAGAAATGAAAAACAATGTTGCCTCATTTCCTAATTATCTTTTCATGGAAGGTCCCTTTATATCAGTCTCCATCAGTAAGTTTATTTGAGTTGGACAAAAGTAAGTACAATTTCTGAGATCAAAACATCTACACCAATGTTTCCAACATCATGTCCAGTGACATGTAACTGAACTACTCTGCTTCTGGTTTCACCAGACGGCCCATGAACAAAATTGCACCAGTTTTTTTGTGACAAATCATGAATAGGAATGGGTGATCAGCGCAGAAGATGGGATTTAGCAAAGCCATTCGACCCATCATGACCACTGCTGTAGCTGCCGCAGCCTCTGTACCCTTCTCATTCACCTCCACAAATGCTTTGTGAATAACATGGGACACATAGAGCTTCTCTAGACCCAGGCTGATGCCTGAGAAATCAGCCTTGAATTCACTGAACATATCTGTTGCCCCCATCTTTTCCAGGACGTTGTTCAGAAGAAACTGCTGCGTCAGCCTAAATCTTGGCAAGGACACCTCTACCTTGTGGGGGCGTGACTTTGTTACAGACTGAAGAGCCTTATGAAGGTTGTAGTGGGTAAGGCCTTCCTCTAACTTGGCTAGGCCATTGATATCATGGGGAAGTAGCAGCACCATGGAGAGGCCCTCTCCTTGGTAAGGCAGCTCAAGAACTTGACATCCCAGATCTCCATCATCTTCAACATGTTTGAACTTTTTTGTAACATGCATCATTTTTACTTCTACCTTTTCACCATCCGAGACAAAGAACTGCTGAGGGTAAGTCGCCTCTTCATCAAACTGGTTTTGCCATAATCCTTTGAAGTAAATTGCATTGACCAAGGTCAACCGGGTACGTGTGGTAAACACTCCCTCAGCGATTATATTCTTAATCTTCTGTTTTGTTTTTTCCTCTACCCACTGGTTCACCTCCTTTCTTGCGCCTTCGTTATCATTTTGGTAGTCGACCAGAGCTGTCTCGGCACCATAGAACTTTTTTGTGCCTTCTACGAACTCTTCTACCAGGCTAAAATTCTTCTGAACAAATAGACGATTTGCAGGCAGGAGTTGGTTGCTGGTGGTGTTTGATGCTTGGAGAGCTTCTAAAAAGTGTTTCTGTTCAGTGTGGAGTTGCTCCTGTGGCAATGCGTCCCATTTAAGAGCCTTGGCCATCTGCCCAGCTGTGTTGCCCTTTGCTCCGAGGTAAGTCATAGCAAGTGCAATACTCAAACTACTCGGTGAATAAAAGAGGTTTTTGCCGATGAATTTCTGATCATTTTTCAGAGCTTTGTGGACTTCCACGGTGAACTTGTTATTTGCTTCGATTACAGCTTCCATTTTGATAATCGTTTCGCTCTTAAGTGAATAAAACGTTGCCAATAATGCGTAAATCTTTCCGAAGGAGGAGCTTTTAATTGCGGTAAACATGCCTGATTCAGCCAATCAGAGCGATATTTTCTTTTGTCACGCGTCACGTATTACATCTCATGGCAGCGAATCAGCAAGCAAAGATGGTGTCCACAACATTTTATGTTTTGTTCCTCTTCTTACTGCTGAACGGTTTAAATTCAGTGAACTCCGATCAAAATGAAGGTAAACATGAAGGAAATATCATAGAAACCATTAATGATTTCGGTTTCGATCTGTTAAAGATTTTCGATCAAGACAAGGAAATGAAAGGCATCAATTTGTTCTACTCTCCGACTAGCATTGCGGTTGCTTTAGCAATGGTGTTTCTGGGGAGTAGGGGAAACACAGCTGATGAAATAGCTAAGGCAATGAAGTGGTACGCTTATGAATCTGAAGACGTTCATTTGACATTGAAATCGTTAATGGAAGCTATTGCAGAGTCTGAACATGCAAACCTCGAGCTGAAGATCGCCAATCGATTATGGGGACATGAATACCTACACGAAACTGCGGAATATAAAGAGAGTATCTTGGCCTTTTATAGTGCTCCAATTGCAAAAGTCGACTTCAAAGAGGGTTCTGAAAGAGCGAGAGAGGAGATAAATCAGTGGGTTGAAAAAAATACCGGAAGGAAAATTAAGGATTTTCTGCCTCCGGGGTCTGTGACTGAAGATACTAGAGTGGCATTAATTAATGCAATTTATTTTCAGGGTACTTGGCTTCATGCTTTTGATCGGGAAAAAACACATCATGCACCATTTCACACTGTTGGTGATGGTGAGCGGGTTCTCGAAGTTTCAATGATGACAAAAACTTCAAGACAAAGTTACCACGTTGATGAAGAACACAACTGCCAAATACTGGAGCTTCCGTATGATGGCGATGATATTTCCATGTTGATCGTCCTTCCAAATGACATCCTTGGAATTTCAAGCATCGAACAGCTGATAAACACTGAGTTGATGGAAAAATGGATTATGTCTTTTGTCAAAACCACCGTTAAAGTATCAATTCCCAGGTTTATCCTAAGTCAGCATTTTGAATTAAAGAAGACTCTGAGTAAACTTGGCATCAGTGATGTGTTTGAGGCAGGCATTGCAGACTTGTCCGGGCTGAGTTCTGTGGAAAGCTTATATGTATCGCATGTGATACACAAGGCACAGGTCCATGTGAATGAGAAGGGAACTGAAGCTGCTGCAGCATCTGGGGTGATCATGCAAAAGAGATCTGTAGAAATGTATCCTGAATTTTATGCTGATCACCCATTCCTGTTTATAATTTACCACAAATCTACAAGAGCTGTTTTATTTATTGGTCGGGTTACAAGACCAGAGATAGTAGAGCAAGGACATTTTACTGCTGAAACTAAAGAGAAACCTAACACAAGGCATTATAATGATGAGCTGTAAGTTAACCCTTTCAGTTAGATTTAACACCAAATTCTCACAGCTACAATCATAAGAAACACAAAGAAGACAGTAGGAGAATTTGCATTGAG